GTGTGTGTGTGTGTGTGCGAGAGAGAGAGAGTGAGAGAGAGAGTGATTCAGTGCTCGTTGCTTATACGCAGGGACCTCATCACTTATGTAATGAACAGACTGAATTTGCCAAAATTGGATACACTTCATCGTTTAATTTTGTAAATAATTAACGTTTAACTTTAGACTGTGCAGTTGTGCTCGTGTATCAGGGGTTCTGGCAAGTACGTAAGCGGCTTCACCTCGTCTCGCCACTTCTCTTGAAAAGTCAGTTATTACTACTACCAGATAAGCCGCGGAAGCGAGCGTAAGGCAAACAGCGCGCAAGGTCGCATCAAAGTCCGTCACCTGGCGAACAATTCATGAGTACGAACTTTCCTTTTCCAGCGGGTGCAGTATGTACGCAGTAGACATATACAACATCGTTTTCAATTGTCTAGGCATTTCCTACGCAAATGCAAAGAAAATCAAAAATTTCGTTCTTTGGTCAGATGAAGCGTGTTTTATAAGAACTGGCACAATTAATGTACACAGTTTGCTTGTGAGGGCGGAGGAAATCCGCATGTTGCACTAGTGTGTGTGTGTGTGTGTCTGTGTGTGTGTCTGTGTGTGTCTGTGTGTGTGTCTGTGTGTGTGTGTCTGTGTGTGTGTGTCTGTGTGTGTGTGTCTGTGTGTGTGTGTGTCTGTGTGTGTGTCTGTGTGAGTGTGCGTGTGCGTGTGCGTGTGCGTGTGCGAGTGCGAGTGCGTGAGTGCCTGAGTGCGTGAGTGCGTGAGTGCCTGAGTGCCTGAGTGCCTGAGTGCCTGAGTGCCTGAGTGCCTGAGTGCCTGAGTGCGTGTGTGCGTGTGCGTGTGCGAGTGTGCAAGGGGAGAGGAACAAGGGAATGGAAGGAAAGGTCCGTGGGCGGTTTGTTAGAGTATTGCTCCAACGTTCACCAGGCATTGAGGGAGAAAACACAAAAAACTAACGAATTCTCCTCCAGGCAGCCGGTTGAAATCGACCTATAATGTCGAAAATCTGCCATCGTCAGGACTCGAATCCAAGATCTCCCCGTCTGTCGTCAGGCACCGCAGCGACAACGGCAATGCCGGCTGGCTCCAGGGGCGGATCTAGCCGATCATTTTGGAGGAGGCCATCAAATATTTTTGTTAAATAATAAACATTTGTTATTATATTTTATATTATTTTGTAGTGTAAATATGATACTTTACAATATTATTTTTTAAACAATTACATTAATCTAACACAAATATTTTAATTAATTTTGCCAAATAAAGAAGGTAACAAACGAAAACTCTTGGGTTTTTCTTTTTGCGGGGGAGGGCATGGCTCCCCTGGATCCGCCAATGGCTGGATCAGCTGTTGTTGTACCCTGAAACATCAATAAATCAATCGACCAATCCAAAAAAATCTCTGACGGTTTCATTTCGTATGCCACAGTACTTTCATGTAAATGAACAATATTTAATTGGTAGCAAGACACGGAAATTGGGTTAAAAGGAACAGTGTCCCCAAGTAAAATTCTGTGCTTGTTTTGGTACAGTGTACACCTTGTATGCAAATTCGGTAAAGTGAACATAGGACTAATGAAAATGTGTTTTTTTTATTTTTTAAGTTACGGTAATTGGTTAAAAGAGTTTTTGCCAGAACTTATGCAAGCAAAGAAAAAAATACAAGTTACAATTACACATAACAATACACACGGCAACATTAGTATTATACGCCCACGGAATCCCCACCCCACTCCTTTAAGAACATTAGTTAAATGAAAGTATGGATAAAAGGAAACGAGCGTTGTTGACATTTAATAATAAATTTTCGCACCGTGTAATAGAAATCATTTGCATCGAAAAATGAGCTACATATGTAGATATTAATAGTACGAACGTCGAAATAACCACTTCCCTTCTCCCCTTGCTTCCATAAAGTAAATTATAGTAAAATGTGAGTTCGAGAAAACGTGCGCGGATTATACGATGTTCTTCAGCACCTGTTTGGCACATGGGGCGGCAGTGGGTAGCTGGTGGGTAGTAGGATAGCTCGGCGCTCGGTCACAGTCTGGTGTGGTCATAACCGGTCAAGTAGTTGCTGTTTGATCACATGTCACTAGGGTTGTGAGGGAATCACCGGGTTACATCTAAAAATATGGAGTAATAGATGGATGAAGAATCTGAACTGATAAGTACGATGAGTATGACTTGCGTGAATGTTTAAGAGGCAGGATTAACAGGTGTAGCCCTATTCATTGAATGTGTGGTGTTGAGCTGTCGTAGCCGGTTGTCTATTTTGCTGAACTTCAAACCTTTGGTAAGTAAAAGAGTGATGTAATAATTAAAGAATATGTAATAGATACATGCGGCAATATTTTAATGTCGTTGTCATTTCTTAAAGATAAACTGAGAAGTCATTTTTAACGTTCGTATTGTAAATTTTTGCGGCATTTTTTCAGGTTATGGTTGCACTTCGAAAATGTCACGAAACAGTATACATGTCAGACGTACTTAAAAGTATAGCTTGTGTTTTTAGTTGTAAACCATTTTATAATGTCAATGCTTTTTCTCAGAGATTGATTGAGTGATTGTTCAATCATTAATTTTCAAGTTTATGATGATTTTTTTTTTCATTGTTTTAAAAGCAGGTGAAATTTTTATCAACAGTTTGCCAAAATGGGACGTAAGGCAAAGATTGCAGCATGTACTCTAAACCAATGGGCTTTGGATTTTAAGGGTAACCTATCAAGAATTCTCAGCAGCATACAAGAAGCTAAAGAGAGTGGAGCTCGTTTCAGAAGTGGCCCAGAACTTGAAATATGGTAAGTTTTCATTTGTAGTCGACATTAAATAGATTAAGTTTATTCTTTGATTGTTGTATTGACTTTACAATAATTTTGTAATTTTCAGTGGTTACAGTTGTGAAGATCATTTTTATGAGAGTGATACTCTTCTTCATTGCTGGGAAGTTCTTGTTGAAATAATTGTCAGCCCCCTCTGTCAAGACATTCTTGTTGATGTTGGAATGCCAGTTATGCATAAGAATGTCACTTATAATTGCCGTGTTATTTTCCTAAATAGGTAATTTTATTAATTTGATGTGAAAACTGTGAGCTAATATAATAGTTTTGACAGAACATTAAATATGCTGATATATATATATATTGACTTATTTGCAGAAAAATTTTGTTGATTCGACCCAAAATGTTGCTGTGTGAAGATGGAAATTATCGTGAATCTCGATGGTTTTCTCCTTGGAAGAAGGTACAACAATCCTATTTTTCCAGCAATTATATTTTCTATTTTTTTCTTGGTGACTCTATGGCATTAACCCTTTTTGATTACTATTCAATTCAGTGAAGCCATTTACGTTGTTTTTTTGAATTCTTAGTGTTATTTTATCACATTAAAGTCTGTAATGGTGACACATAATTATTTTTATTCTTGTAATTGCAAAATTGGAGAGAGTTATTATCCCAAAACCCTTTCAGAGCTGAGTTGCTATGCTATGCATTTCCGAGTTGCCAATGAGGTTCTGGCCTATGGTCTGTACCATTTATATAATACAATCTTTGATTGTGCCATAAAACATTACCAATGCATTTTTATACCAAAATTTATATGCCGGTATTTTACTGCCCCCTTCTCCCTTCTTTTGGCACACATGAGTGTGTCCAAGCAGAATAATCCTGACGATCAGTCATTTTTTAGTAAAATATATTTAGAATTCATTATCTCACTTCTAATAAATATTAGTTTCTTTTGCTGAAATCTTAGAAAATTTTCTTTTTTAGTTTGTCTGTTACGTTACAAAGTGTAAATGTAGACTTTTTTTATTCTCAAAAATCAATTTGTTAATAATGACAATAGACCCTGGCCGAAAATTGCATAGAATTTGTGGACTAATTCAATGTTTTTTGACGTACTGAACCTGAAAACTAGAAAATTTTCTTTCCATCATGTATACGTTTTAAGCTATTCAATGTTCAATAGTTTCAGCAGTAAGCAAGACAATTTGTTGATGCTACAATGGGTTGGCTACTATTTCTTGTGGATTTTTTTTCATTTATGGAAGATGATTAATTTTGCTTCTAATTGTTTCAACTTATTTATGAAGATTTCTGAGTCTTTCGTTCTGTTGTTTCCTTGCATTAATTTTCACATTTCTTCTAAAATTACTACTAAGGATTGTGTTAATACTCTGAACCCTGATATAACAATTTGTGAAATTTCTGTCAAAATAGGGAGAATGTTTCTAAAGTCTGTCCTCCAACTTTCTGATGCAAAGTTGAAAGAGGAATTTTGTCAGAATTTGAGGTATATAATTCCAAGATAGATGAAAGCAGTCAATCGTAAGATGTTTAGCAAACAAAAGAGATCCTGATTACAGAAATCATCACCACTGACACACCATGAAACTTCTTGCGGCATTCAAAATTTAAAGTTGTAAAATCATCTTTCCATGCATTCCTGTGTAGACTTTATATCCCAGAAAGTTTGGAAACCAATGAATAGCAAGGGAATTGATTCAGTTTGTGAGAGACACCAAAAGAGGTTTTTAAGCAAAATGGAGTCTCAAGAGATAGTTGATAATTGATAGGAGATAGTTGACAGTTGATAGTGATTCAAGAGATAGTTGATAGGAGAAGTTGATAGATGTCTAAAGTTACACATTAACAACTATACCTTTTCAACAACAAAATTAGACAAAACCGTTTCAAATTGAGAGCACACTCAATTGGGAACAAACTTGTTCACACTCAAATTGAGACATATCATTTTCATATCAAGTCCAAAGAACTTCAAAATGATAAGTAAACAGGCCATTGTTTTAGTTGACAGAAGCAGGTTATGTCGTGTTCTGTTAAGTTGTTAAAGTCAGTTTTTCTTGTTGGTTAATTATACTGTTTATTACAAGAAGGGAGGCAGACTGCAAATATGTGCTTTATTCAACAATGATGGAGATTAGAGGGCTCTGATGAGCATATTTGGAGTAAAAAATCTACTGCTTATAGATGTGTGAAGATCCAAATCAAAAGCAAACTACAGGGTGGAAAGAGAAAGGTGAAAATTACGTAAGAACATTGTGAATTAATTATTGATTATATTGAGAAAAATCCAAAGCTTACACTTAAGTAACTTCAATGTAAATTTCAAGACAATAGTAAAATTGTGTCCACAGAATATTTGAATGGTTTATTTTTCGCACTTAAGTGTGTTGAGGACCTGATAAAATTAACAGCACTCACATTAAAACAAAACACTGCGAATATGTTCTGCAGCTAGAGGTTGTCAACCAATGTTCCTATTTTATATGGATGAAACTAATTTCGATTTATTTATTTTGCTAAAGCAAGAATGTTCTAAAAAGGAACTCGATACATCTACATAGCAGCGATGACTCGTGGATCCTATATCCATGTTATCAGTTGTATAAGCAATTAGCAGGATTAATTCATCAAGAAGTAAAGTAGTAAGAGGAGGTGCATTTAGGAAATGCTAACAACTTTACTCATCAATGTCTTGTTTCTGCTGAAAATATTTACCAGACGATTGTGGTACTAGTAATAAATAATGCTTCTTGTCATTCGGGAATTGAAAAATTATTTATGGAGGAAGAATTTATAGGAGATCGCCTTTTGAGATTAAGCCCTTACAGTCCTATCCAATCCAATCAAACTTGCCTGGTCATCATTTAAATCTGCTGTTGAGAAATATCTTTCCTGGCAATTGCCAAATATATCAGCTGGTGAAGAGAGAACAAATATATATCAAATGGAATTCTGGCTCCACTAATTAGAAAACATTATAAATAACAATGTCAATGTAATAAATGTCAATACTGTGCGAAGTTTATTGCTCATATTCAACGATTCATACCAGATGCTTTAAATTTGATTGATATGATTGTGTAAATAATTGAATCTATGTTATTATTTTTCTGTTTCAAGCGGTTCAATAAAATGTATTTGTAATACGCATTCCTTTCTTGCTTTTTAATTAATTTCCGTTTTCTTTATCATAATGGTGTGGATCTGAATTTGAAGGTGATTCTTCTCGATTTGAATATGTTTGGATGTGTATTAGCTGTTCCCAATCTGAAAGTGCTTGTTCACAACTGAAATGTTTGTGGTCTCATTTTGAAGATGAAAAGGTGTAATGGACCAAGAGAAGCATGAAAGAAATGTAGGTTTCCTATCAGCAGATAGAGAAAATACTATACTGCTAAAATTGTATTATTTACAACTAGTGCACAATCTTTTCTTTTTTTTTCTTTGGAGATATGACAATAATTACTCTTTCTACCCATAACCAAGTTCATTTGCCTGCTACTCTTGAAAATGAATGCAAATATTAAACTTCGTGCAGCTTTCTGAAAAAACTGTCCTGGAAATCTGTATTTTGCTTTGCAGATGAAAACCATACATTTGTGAAAATAATAGTACTCACTCGCTTATAAAATGTAAGTCTAAGAATATGTGAGGATTGGTTAAATGACTTGTTGTTTTAGGTTCGACTGGTGGAAGACTACTATCTTCCACGCATGATTCAGGCATATACAGGTCAACAGGTTGTACCTTTTGGTGATGCAGTGCTATCTTTGAAGGATACCTGCATTGGATTTGAAATTTGTGAAGAATTATGGAATCCTCAAAGGTGAGTTTTCCTGATGTAGTTTTATAATTTTGATCAAGAACCCCTAATGATCAATTTTCTGATTTCCAATTTTATTTCTGTTTCAAATTTTTAGATTTACACATTGTCCTAATTAATCTAAAGAATAAAGAATAAGTTATGTGTTTTTGTGTGTGCTAAAGTAAAGTAATGGAAATGTGTGGTATTACTTTGGCAATTTTTATAATATTGACATGATGTAGCCAGATTTAACTTATCCTTATCCTATTAATTGAACTGAATTTATGTCTTTTTCCTTATATTGGTCCTCTCCTGTTTCCTGTAAATCAGATTGTATGGGCTTGCATAAACTTCAAAGGAGGAATTATTTGAGATTTGTGCAGTATCTCTGCATGTCTTGTGATGTGAACTTTCTCTTAAAGTAATAGACCAATAAATATTATTGAATATAAAATGTACAGAAAAATACCTGTTTCAAAATGTAAAATGAATTAAAAATAAGATAGTATTGGATATTACTTAGCCAATTAAATTGAATTTCCAGTTCCACAATTGAATGAATTAATAATTTGGTTCCATAAATCTAAAACATTCAGTTTGAGGTTTAAGTAACATTAAAAAACTTTCTTGACAACTTTTTGAAGGGCAGAGCGGTTCAAGTGGTTATCTGCAAATGCTGTTGTGCAGTGGCGGTTGGTATATCCCTATTCAGATTTAACTGTCTAGGCAATGTCATAATGGTATAAATGATAAGGTGACCAACAGTCCTGTTGACCATGCCTTTGGCTCGTGTTCAATAAAAAAAAAACTGTTCAAAATATGAGTTAATTCCTGTGAACCTATTGAGTACAGTTCTCAAACTACTGATGGTATATCAGAAGAGGATTTGAATGAAAATGCAAATTAAATTCCTGCTTAGGGTGCGTAATTATGACGCTTATTTGCATTAGTTAAGTGTTTACTTGAGGCTTTGTTGCCGAATTATCGCGGCTGAACATTGGAATAAACGACGCGTATTAACTTGGAAACATTTTTATTTTATTTCCCATCCCTATTCATCTTGAGTCTTCCAGTATTTGTGACTGCATGGGAACAAGTGAGGAAGGAAGATGGCGACACCCGATAAACAAGCGTTCGCAAGTCCATTGCAGCCATTAATGTTTGGAACAACACGTCAACACAGCCGTGCTGTCCTGTCCGTCCGACTCCACCTGGTTTACTTCTCGGAGAAGTATTCCGGGCGGACCGTTCCTCTATTGGATCGAGCCGGCCGTTGGCAATGGGGACCAGTAACTGAATAACACGCGAAACATTTCTGCCAGGGTTGCGGCGTGTCGTTAAGGGCAGGGCAAATGGGTTCCCTGTTGATACCGTTCAGACGTTTCTTCTAAATTCATGTTCCCCGGTGGGTCTGGACTGAAGGACAGAACCCCTTGCCTACACCCCGTACGTCATGGCGCCTCTCGGCGTGGCTTGCGAGTCGCCCATTACGGACGGCACCAAACGGCAAGGAGCGCCACTTGTCCCAGTTGCGATGGAGAGGAACTGATGAAATTGATCCTTCCGAAGGGGAATTAATGATATTAGCTGCAGAGGAAGAAAAGCGGGAGCAAGGAGGGCAATCTAATAAGTGGATATTCAAATACTGTGAACAATATTAGTCCGAAATCATAAGAATGTTGTCCAAAATTAATACATTCTATTCATTAATAAATTTCATTTGGCCTAACTTCAGGCCCTACAATTTTTAAAGGATTTTTTTAAACTAAGGTACATTTTATATTAAGCGCATACCAATCTCAACTTTCTCAACGTTTCTCCCAATTTTTATTTTTCTTCCAAATTTCAGCGGGGTGTTTTCGTGTGGTTCCAGGAATACAAGGCAATCGGGAACTTAAACGAAACTACTGCAGGTGTCATCCAAGCCCCCTCATGCTCATATAGAACGCTGGTTTCCGGTGCCGAATGATGCCAGTCAACATTTCAATTGCGTTGTTATCAAATGATGGCGGACGTAACGAACGCTTGCCTTGTGATCGGCGCTCGCTCATCAACGCCTTCCTGCTGCCGGTTCTCCTGCGAGTTTCAACGCTCCGACAGCACACGCTGATTCTCAGTCGAGTCGTGGTTTTAGAGCGTGTGTTCACAAGATTCAAAAGTGGATATAGAACTTTTTGTTATCGAAGGTGTTTGTGAGGCTCGCTCTGTGGGATAAAGGAACAAAAGCCACGGGAACAAATATGGGGATGTACTAGGAAGAAATTCTTGCGTAAACGAATAACTACTTAACCTCAAATATAATTTTTTTATAAGTAATGTTAAAATATACATTTATTGAAACGGTGAATCAAATCTATAGAAACTAAACAAGGTTTTCACAAACTTTTACCAATATCTGTGAGAGTACACATTTGAATGATTACTCACGAATTAAAAAAATACTATCTCCCGTAATTGATGTATTAGATGGTCGTCCTGCACACGGCCATGTAGAGTTATGTAAATCCAATTGAATTTCATTATTGAGAGGGATATCAAATCCTTAACAATAATAGTGTTTTGTAAAACACACACGCACTTTATAATTCTTTCTCGTAGATTTAACACCACCATACTGACCCCACGCTTAAAGTGCGCCAATGCAGGAGTCTGCATCGGTCGCAGATTGGTTGTGTGGGTGATCCGAACCACCGGATTCCCCACGGATATGGGAGGTAGTTAGGTGAAAAGGGCGTATCACGCAGAACGCATAAGGCGAATGAAGAAAAGTCGGGAATGCCATTTTACATGGGTTTCATAAATCTAAAGTTGAGAGATGGGGTGATTGATGAATCGGTGATAAAAGATCACTGATCAACGCTTACGCTGCTTAACACCTATCTTACATCGAGTAACTGATACTGCGTTTCGGCGGACGCCGGCCCATCCGGTGATCACTGTTATTGCTTAAGATAGCGACGGCTTCCGGTACTCGTTTTCTGGACAGCTGGGTTCCTGGAGCATTGACGGTGGCTGCGCCCCTTCCCCCCGCCGCCGCAGCATTAAAATACTTACTCTTTACGCAATAAGTCGAGAAAGTAAAAATAACTGCGATTCGCAGCGCTCGATGTGTTCACGCAGATACACCCCCGGCGACCTCGCGTCTCGATATTCCGGCCCCTACTGACAGCGGTGCGGGCGAACATCGCAGTGGAGTCGCATTGACGTGATGCCAACTCAACGCGCGAATACTCATTTGCGTAATAACTTGAGCCCAGCGCGGACCCCTATCTACATGTACTTATTGTGTGTTGGTTTCTCTTTACGCCCTAAGATTCTTGCACGGCGAAGCGCCTTAATGCAGGCTCGGCGGCAAGTTCGGGGACCCGCCACACCTTACACAAAAACATGGGTTTAATAAACAAAAATGGAGCAATTTTTTAGAAAATTTGGAAAATGTTGAGGCTTTATGTAAAGTACGTATCCTCAAAACCAAAATATATTTCAAACTCTCAGGGCCTCGAGTTTGTTTATAACAGTGGAAGAATGGCAATTTTGGAGAAAATTATCTCGGCGGTTTAGCACGTTTTACAGTCAGTAGATTTTTCTGTATCAAGGACCCACCAAACGTAAATTCTGACTATGCAAAGTGTTAGAAGAGTAATTTATATATACGGACAAGATTTATCCACTTTTTAGTTACCAGGGCAGACAATACGAGTTTTCTATCGAAAAAATCGCCGATTTCCGCCTCCATAAAATGCTTTCTTTTTATGTAGTAAGTCGAAAAAGTAAAAGTGACAGCGATTCCCAGCGCTCCGTTAAATTTATTAACTTATCTAATATGAATGAAAATCATTTGTTTCTTGATTGTAGTGTCAAAGTTGGTCTTCATAGGTGGATTAAGTTTGAATTTACTAGTTCTGTAGTGGGATAATTCCATGGGTTCATATTTCTGTTGACTAAGATGTGTTTGAAAAGTTTCTTCGTGAGGGGTAGCATTTGACTAATCAGGTTGGTGTCCCCGAAGTTGAATGTTGATTCAAAGTTTGCAGTGGAAATATGAAAGCTGTACTTTATAGGGATGATGTAACATTTGCGAGACTCCACAGTTTGTTCCCAACTCTCACTCTAATCTATTGTTACTCGGGAAGGTTTAAAGCATTTTATTAATTTCCTTCTAATGCCTACATCCAGGGCAAACGAAAGCAAACGGTGGGCGAAGGCAACAGAATACCCGCAGGCATTGACGACGCGAGACGGATTAGGCGAAAATTGCCGTGTTTGCATCAAATATTTGTGTGCTTTCTTGACACTTTCTGAATACTATTACCATCAGAAGTAGTTTTCGTTTTCATTATTTGACTTTGTTGGAGATTTCGTAAATTAGCAATTCCTTACTCAAAAGATATTATTTTACAGTTGAATTTACATTGATTTACCAGAAGATTTACTATTGAAATTTGAGGTAACTATTGAGGTAATAGCAAAAAACATATTCTAATGTGCAACACATTAATTTTTATAGACTTTTCTTCAGTCACGTTTTCAACATTTGTTCAAACCTGTTGCGAGTATATTGTGTGTGCGCGCGCGCTTGTGACATCATGACATCATCGTGACAACATTGTCACAAAGTGTACACAACGATTTTCTTGGAGGAGAATGAAATCAAACGAAAAAAGTTGTGCCTGGTCTCAATTTGATTTTTTTCTTTTTCTTTACTCATTGTTGTTCCATATTTAAATGAACTTATAATGAAAATATAAATAAAATTTCTATATAGTAACCAAGTTAAGACAAATGTTCATTATGAATTCATCTGCATTCAATCTAATAAGCGTATTTAATAGCCGTTCTCATTTGTTGTATTTAGACTATGACATGCATCAATTAAATCGCGTTGGAATAAAAACACTCCTTTAGTCTGTTCACTTATTAGCCTGCCAGCGTCATTTCAGCTCCTTGCTGGCCCCGCGTGCCCACCGCAACGTGACTACATGTGGCCGTGCCTACTTCAAGTGGAGAAATGCGAGTGCCGAAGCGGTCAAAACAGAGCCAGACCGAGAGGTCGTGTATAGGTCGCTTGTGAAGACCCTAATGAATTCCTTGTCAAAATAAAGGTATGTGATACCAACTGGTGTATCAAATTGTAAGAACTAGTCCAATCACGCAGGTATATAAGAAGACTGGTAGTTACTGATCTGCTAGATATAAATCAATTTCGATTGATTGCCAAGATAATTTTCTGCGCAGAAGGAAATTATTTCCAGCGGAACGATTCTTTCTATACATTTATGAATCGAAGATGTCAAGGAAATCTGACAAAAGTTTGTGGCCTTCAGTCTAATTTCTTTCTTGTAGTTTCACCAAGACACCATTCTGCTGGATGCCGTCATTGAGAGAGCTTTGAAAAAGTTCTGTAATTGAGAAAGGGTCAGCGTTGTAGCATTGTGCGTGGGTGAATAGAATCTGGTCCTACTGATTATCAAAGTAAGAAAACAAAACAAAATTATGTTTACGGTCAATCAACGTGATTTATATGTTGGTATGATTTAATTCTAATCTCTTCTACTTCAAGACATTGCATCGTTCTCGCTTTAATGGGATATGAGCAGCCACGACTCTCCCATTCTGTCATTCTCTTGATAAGACCCCCCTCTTCTCTTTTACTAACTTTCTATCCAACTTGTTATAAAGTTTCATTTCGAGTTATGCATATTGAAGCTGGAAAAGTTAAATTTTTCAAGAGGAGTGCCCAAACTCAGAGGGCAAGTAGAGGGGCTCAGAGGAAGCAGCTTTCTTTCATGAACCAAGGCGATTTCGTGAACCGCCTTATTATCTCACAGTGGCGCTTTAGTTTTACTACATCATGATTGGAAACGACTGTAACGAATTACTTTTTTGGATTGTTAATTGATTAACACTCCATATCTCGCGGTAACAGTAAGAACGCGTTTACGCGCGCGGGGTATTTGTATACACCCAGCCTTAGGTAACTGAAATTCAGAAATTGGAAACGAGAGAGAATTCACTCCGTAAAATGCAAGGTGTTCATATGTTTTCATCGACAATATGTTCAGTCATGTGCCGCGGGACATTGGACAAATTCATAAATAATTCGTAAAATAAAGTTTAGAATCAAAAGAAATAGAGCAACACTACATAATAATACGGCGGTAAGGCACATCCAGCGTTGTCAGCAAATGTTGACTTCCTTCTTTACCGCCAGGTAGCGCCACAACCACGGTCTCAGAAATATTCATTGATACGTTCTCGGCTAAGTGATTATAAGATTTTATTTATTTTGTCAAAGATCTATGAAAACTGTATGTTCCGTATGGGGGAGAAGTATACACTACGTACGGTCTCTCTGACTCCAGAATCAATTCTCCACCCTTTAACCATAAATAGTTGAATGATGAATGGAAGTCCCAAAAGCGAAGTTGGCAACATTTGAAAACTAGACATTATTGCTCCCCAGCTATAGACAACGTATTTGCATTGGTAAACGAACTACAGATTTTTTTGTTGTATTGATAACAAAATCTTAACCCTTACCCCCGCCTCTACTCCTACCACACATAGCAAAATTAGAGGTCGACAAACCGTGCTCATAGTGAAGCTACATTTATATCCAAAAGCAAAATAAGAGGGCATCTCAGCATTTGCTCATTCGAGATTTGATTGAGACGGGGATTGCTGGAGGATATAATTTTGCCGGCCATTTACCTAGGGTTTTTTTACATGCTGTAAGTAAATGACCATTGACTACTTTCCTCCCTTCAAATAAGTCCACGCTCCATAGCCGGGGTCGAACCCCGGCCCTAGGGAGTGTCAGTAAGCTAGCCACCTCCTACTGAGGATTACGAAACATCTCGCCCCCAAGTTTTAATTGTTATAATTATGTAACTTTATAAATACAATGTACTAAACTTATTTTACTTCGTCACCACTCCCCTTCTAACAAAGCCCGAAGTAATTTCTGAGTAAGGGAAGAAACTGCAACATTTGAATTCGTGTATTACGTAATATATTTTCATTAAAACCCAGTACTCACGCAGGGTATTTGGATACCCCGAGGTCTATTTTTATAGCGATGTTACTACTTACAGAAGAAGTACACGCAACATGGTTTATGTGGTTAATGAAGGCATGAGATATATATTGTATTTTGTTTCACTTACGTTGTGTAATTCTATGGAAAGTATAGTTTTTAAACTTGGCCTGGGAATCTGCATACTCCGCGCGAACATCTGTAACTTGTCAGATGTTGCGACGAATGCTGATGCGGTAACTGCAAATCTCCCTGCACACTAAGTGGCCTTGCACCCGGAATGGCGGTGTTGGTGAACTATTTCTTCTCAATTCTAGCACTGTCAAGGCTTTCACAGAAGTTCGCGAGGACTATAAAATATGATGGTAGCCAGCCTTAACTCCAGAATTACAGTAAAAGGAGATTTGCGTAGAAACCGGATGTATCACCTCTCGGTAAACGTCATTATTCGGACAAGGAAAAGCCTTTCTACATCGCATTGATACATATTCTGGTAGAAGTTGAGGCTTGGGCATTGCAAGTGTTATAGATGGTCAGTGTCCGTAAAACTGTGAATGACATCGAGAAATTGTGGAAGACTGTCAAAGCCCTTTTTCTCAGTAGAGCGCCGGGGGG